TCGCCTGGTATACAGGAGGTCGTGGGTGCGATCCCGACCCTGATGCCTGCTGCTGTATATTTGGAGTTTGCGTGTCTCTCTCTCTCTCCCGTTATCATCATCATCACGGTGGCTAGGAGATGTTAACTACCTCGCCAGGTATGCAGGAGGTCGTGGGGTTGATCCCGACCCTGACTATTCCTGTATAAGTCTCGACTCAAAGCTTTCGTGACTGCGCTAATTCAAATTATTTTGGGTATTTCGGCTGTCTTGTGGATGTTGTTGTTGTTGTTGTTTGACTTGCATCCCACTGGGATTTTTGCACACAGCGTTGGTGTACGGTGCTATTTCAGGAATATTTTGATGGTTTTTTTCCTGGATTTTCTGTTTGCACAGTCACACAGTCACTTTAAAGATGTTTTCTTGTTCATGTTTTTGTTTTTGTTTGTTTGTTGCGGTTGCACCCGATTCGAGAGCCGAATGGCTCACAGGGCTATACCAAAATAAATGGAACTATGAAACTATGAAAGTCACGTAGATAGGTTCAAAGAAAATAATAATAAAAAAAACACGACGTTTCGATCGCAACACAAGCGGTCGTCATCAGGAAAGAAAAAAAAAGCACGTGGTAGTTTTTTTAAATATTATTTTCTTTGAACCTATCCGCGTGACTTTACCGAAAGGCGCAGAGAATATGCGTGTATCATCTTTGATTATTTCGGTAAAGTCACGTAGAATGAGAATAAAATAATACAATTAAAAATAAAATTCTCACGACGTTTCGGCCACAACACAAGTGGCCTTCTTCAGGTGAAAGGAACAGACCTGTCGGGACAACAGAGCTCATTCTACGTGACATTGTAGCTCTGTCGTCCCGACAGGTTTGTTCCTTTCACCTGAAGAAGGCCACTTGTGTTGTGGCCGAAACGTCGTGAGAATTGTATTGTTTTACTTCATTATTTTATTCTCATTCTTACGCGACTTTACCGATAGAACCAAAGATGATGAATCCTTGCAGTCACGAAAGCTTTAAATCGAAAAATATGCGTGCACATTTGGAGATTGCGTGTCTCTCTCTCTGTCTCTCTCTAGCGTGGTCGCATGGATTTTTCCTGCCAGTTCTCCACTTTTTCCCCCTCCACATTTGGAATAAAAACTCGTTAAGAATATCTGGCCGTCTATAAATCGTTCACTTGATGATAAGCCACTTCGTTGAGCCATCATTTGTGGCGTGGTCGCTTCCAACAAAGAGCTACGTAGCTCAGTGAGCCTTACCTGGATAAAGACAATAAAGTGTTTAAGAGTATATTCTTTGGGTCTTTCGGTAAAAATCACGTAGATAGGTTCAAAGAAAATAACAAAAATACTACGACGTTTCGATCGCAATCCTTGATGACGACGGCTTGTGTTGCGATCGAAACGTCGTAGTTTTTAAAAAAAGATTTAATTTGAACCTATCTACGTGACTTTACCGAAAGACCCAAAGAATATGAATCCCTGCAGTCACGAAAGCTCTAAGTCAAGAGATTAAGAGTTTACAGGTTCCGTCAGTCAGCATAATTCATTCCTCCAATGCCTCTCACCATCTGGCAGCTCACCAGCATTGTGTAAAGCAAGCCCGACTCCGCTGATGAGACACCGAATGTCAAAACCGGTCCATAATTTGGTTATAAAAATAGGGGTTTTCCCCCTTTTTTTCTGGCAACAAAACTGAAACCTTTTAACAAGGAACCACGTGTACGTTAACCACAATACTTGTGGTCAAAATGCAAACAAAAAACACATTCTGATAATACGATGCAATGTCCTTGAAACTGATTGGTCCACACCAAAGACGGCTTTCTTTTGAGCCTCGCCTCAATTGGTGCTTGACCAGAGGACGCCAAAAGGCGTCACACAGCTCAAAGACAATGCCACTATCAAAGATAATGAGGGCTCGGGGTAAGCATCTACATCATTAGACCTCCTTTGCCAGTAACCAAAATATTATTCTAATTTGGTGATTGTTGAACCAATTCTGCTGGGATGGTTTCTTGGGTGTAGTGGAACCTGCGACCACCACGCGTCCACTGTGATGGCTCACCCCAGTTCGCTCCCCTCTCCTCGTTAATTATAACCACTCTCATCTTGGGGGCCCCCCACACCGCTAGTCTACTGCCAACCCCCTCCCCCCAATCACGCACCCCTACTTCCAACCTAGGGGAGCGTAGAACCGGGGATGACTTCCGGAATACACCCGCGTGGCTGATGGTATGTGTCAAAACTATTTTTTTTAATGCAGAATGAGACATATGGACGAGAGGCAAGTGGTCCGCGTGTTGATTTCGTCAGTCGGAGGTCCACGAATCCCCGTCGAAACGGACTCGAAACGTGCCGTGATATTTGCTCCCCAATAAAATGTTGTGGGGGGAGGGTGGTTTGCCTCTCCATAGCAGCGATTCTTCTTCTTAACCTGTGGTGCACGATACTTCCTGGGCTAGCCTGATTTCTTTTTAGATGGTAAATCATCGAAAAGCAAATTAAACACGGGCACGTGAGTGCAACTGCTTTGTTTAATCAAACCCTACGTATTTTTTTGTTCTTCTTTGGTTCTTTCGGTAAAGTCACGTAGAATGAGAATAAAATAATAAAATAACACAATAAAATTCTCACGACGTTTCCCTATGTATTTATTAAAATTCTACATTTTTGTATTATTACTACACACTTTTATTTAGCTCACTCTGTCTGTTGTATCCTCAAATCTTGTAACTCAATTTTTACCCACTTCCCAATGTGGTATCGACTGCAAAATTTGGTATACTTATGTCATACCGATAACAATACTATGTTCTATCATAAAAATATTTTAAAAAACGTATATTTTAAAACATTATTTTTTATATGTTAAGTTTCTGCTTGGGTCTAGTTGTCCACGTTAAACTGACGTTGGCTGTAATTGGCCACGGTCCCTTACGTCGTGGCAAGCTTCGGGGCCACTTCCTGGAGTTGTGGAGTTCTTCCATTACTAGTACGGTACATTTCATACTGGTAGGGACCTCCTGGTTACACCACCAGCCCACAGGGGATTATTGTGTCCGTCCGTCCGTCGTGCATCCAAAAATGGGAGGAGGTGGGGCTGGGTGGGGAGGGGAGGGTGGGGAGGGGCCGGGTGGGGAGGGTGGGGCTGGGTGGAGGGGAGGGTGGGGAGGGGCTGGGTGGGGAGGGTGGGGCTGGGTGGGGGGTGGGAGGGGTGGGGCTGGGTTGGGAGGGGCTGGTCACCCCGTGGTGCCCTTATAAAACTCAACGTTTAACCTACTCACGCCGGCTTGTGCCCGCCCTCACAGTCGGGCATATTGTGTGGAATACACCACGTGGTGGTGCCGTTGACCCTGGCCATTGACCGAGCAAACCCAACGTTCCTACCAGCTCCCTCCGCAGGAATGTGTTTAAAGCGTGTTTTTAAAAGTTTTTATAAATATTATTTATTTACGACTGAGAACCAAAGGAGTACAAAGCTGCAGTGTAAAGATTAAAAACGACTGCTTCAGTCGTATCTAAACTCAACTAGAATTACTCAACAATTTTTGTTAATATTCTTGGTTCTTTCGGTAAAGTCACGTAGAAGGGAAACCATAAAATAATAAGAACATAAAACAATAAAATTCTCACGACGTTTTCGACTGCAACACAAGCAATCATCATCAGGTGTGAAAACCACAGCAAGAACATCGCTGTGGTTTTCACACTGATGATGATTGAAAATGTATTGCTGTGGTTTTCACACCTGATGATGATTGAAATTGTCTTGCTGTGGTTTTCACACCTGATAATGATTGCTGCTTGTGTTGCAGTCGAAACGTCGTGATAATTTTCTTGTTTTATATTTTTATTATTTCATTGTTTCCCTTCTACGTGGTGACTTTACCGAAAGAACCAAGAATATGAATCCCTGCAGTCACGAAAGCTTTAAATCAAAATGTTTTTTTTTTTCACGCTACCAGGTAAGGTCCCACTGAGCTATGCTGCGAGCTCTTTTTGTCTGAAGTCGACCTGGGCGATCAGGTATGGACAGCTCAACGAAGTGGTCCATCACCATCGTCACGTGTTCATCAATAGCAGCAGCCAAATCACTTTAAACGCGGTGATGTTGATTATAAATGTGGAGTAACCCCGTACGAGGAGAGAGAGAGAGTGAGCGAGAGCGAGAGAGAGACACCGCAAACTACAAATATACAGCAGACGTCTGGGTCGGCATCGAATCCACATTTTGGGAGAGTCCGAACCCCTGCACCGACACCCGCGATGAGTGACTGCGCAGCCCCTCGCTACAGGTGGGAGGTGTTGAAGTGAAACGAAGTGGCCGCGATGTCCAGAGTCTGAGTGAAGTGGGTTCGTGTTGGTACAAAGAAGGGCCATTGCCCCGAAACGTCGATTTGAAGACCACTCGCCGCAGTGCTATCGACGGCCAGCGGGGCGGCGGGGGGTGGGGGGGTTCATCAGTGCCCACGGATTCTTGGTCAAGAATTTCTGCTCGAATTCAGATCCTGACAATTAAATTTTACACGAAAAAGCAAAATTAATTCATCGCATGTCTCTCCTGTCCACACATATATCTCTCTCATCTCACGCCATCCCTGTCTTGGCTAACGATTCGTCCTCATGCCACTAAGATTTATTTTATCTTGTCTATATCTCTCATCTGCCTACAACATATGCAGAATGTCTTTTAGTTACATCTCATTTGGCATCTCGTTAAGTATTTTTTTTTAATAATTGACAGGAGCTTTGGCCACATTTTGCCCAAATGTCATGATGTCTCCTTAGACCCTGATGGGCCGGTGGCCGGCACAAGACCTTCGTCCGATTCTTTTGTTAATCCTGGAGAAATCCGATGAGCCATGAAGCTCTTGTCCACAGATCTCCAGCTGTCGTCTTTCTTTTGTTCACACACGTCGTTCCGATGATAGCAGGGCCCATGCGGGACCGCACAAAACGCACGCCACGCAAAAAAATAAACTCCACAAAGCAGGAAGACGGACGGTGGGGGGGGTTGATTTTAAATAAGTTTAAGGCATTTTTTAAACGAGTTTTGTCAGAAAACGCAAACATTGTACAGAGACATCCCGAAGAATTCCACGCGCGCGCGCGCGCTGTTTGTGACCACATCTTTTCAAATAAAACATCAGGTTTACATTTACGAGTTCGTTATTGTTTCCTTCTCTCTCTCTCACTCTCTTCTCCTTAACACACGGTGCGTTATACAATAGTCCACATAGAATAAGTAAAACGTTGTCAAATACGTATTTACCATTGACGGGGCCTTGTCTATCAGACCTTGGCATATATATATGAAAACGATGTGCTAACCCAAAAATGGAGCTGTTTAATACCGACCGACCTATCGTGGGTTTCTCAAAATAAATCGGGTTACAATTATTGTGAATATTATCAGCATCGGTATTATTATTATTACTATCGGCATCATCAGTTTCGATTGGCCACACTTTTCGTGACGTTACCGTAACGTTGACACTTCGAACCTGAATCTACGGGCGGCTAAAGTAGTAAAATAGCAGAATTATTAGACGGACACACAACAACAACCAGCCAAGAAACCACCCCTACACATACACACACACACGACAACAAATAAAAAAAAAACTATAAAACACGCGACGTTTTTTTTCTTTCTTCTGTCAACAACAACAACAACAAACAAAGAGCCACAACAAAACACAGATTGCAAAAGTTTGGAGAATGTGGGTCATTGGTGCCAACAAGGAAAACCATGTGTTTTTTTTTTCTTTCTTCAAATCAGAGAGACAATAGCGGTACAGCAGCAAGGGCGTTGCGTCGCCGCTTGCGCTGCTGCGTTTGTCGGGCACCGTGTCCGACATTTCGTTCCACGTGCCACTGGCAGGTTTCATGGGGTTATCTGCTTGGGAGGGGGGAGGAGGAGGGAGAGGAGGGGGGGGGGGAGCGTACGTTTTGACATCCCCGAAGCCGCTTCTTTCGTCAACTGCAACCCCTCTCGGCACCCCTAAGAGTTGGGCGCAGTAGTCCGGTGGCAGTTTCGTGAAGCGACGAGAGTCGCCATGGGACAGCGCAAAGCGTGCACACGCAGGGAGCCAGTCGACCCGTGGCACCTGCTGGGTCTGCCCCCGTGAACTCCTGGTGCACCTAGCCTGGCACAGTAGGGGGTACACAGGCGGTGCATCGGCCGGTCATCTCAGCCAGTCGACCCGTGACACCTGCTGGGACTGCCCCCGTGAACTCCTGGTGCACCTAGCCTGGCACAGTAGGGGGTACACAGGCGGTGCATCGGCGAGGTCATCTCAGCCAGTCGACCCGTGACACCTGCTGGGTCTGCCCCCGTGAACTCCTGGTGCACCTAGCCTGGCACAGTAGGGGATACACAGGCGGTGCATCGGCGAGGTCATCTCAGTCAGTCGACCCGTGGCACCTGCTGGGACTGCCCCCATGAACTCCTGGTGCACCTAGCCTGGCACAGTAGGGGGTACACAGGCGGTGCATCGGCGAGGTCATCTCAGTCAGTCGACCCGTGGCACCTGCTGGGTCTGCCCCCGTGACCAACTGGTGCACCTAGCCTGGCACAGTAGGGTGTACACAGGCGGTGCATCGGCCGGTCATCTCAGTCAGTCGACCCGTGGCACCTGCTGGGTCTGCCCCCGTGACCTACTGGTGCACCTAGCCTGGCACAGTAGGGTGTACACAGGCGGTGCATCGGCCGGTCATCTCAGTCAGTCGACCCGTGGCACCTGCTGGGTCTGCCCCCGTGAACTCCCTGGTGCACTAGCCTGGCACAGTAGGGGGTACACAGGCGGTGCATCGGCCGGTCATCTCAGCCAATCGACCCGTGGCACCCGCTGGGTCTGCCCCCGTGACCTCCTGCTGCCGGAGGGGGGTTCGACACTGCACGTGGCCTCAACGTGCACGTAGCCTGGCACTCAGCGCCGTGGTGGCGCCACCGACACTTAGTGGCGAATGGCGTTTGTTGTTGTGTGGGTGTGTGGGGAGAGCGGTGGTGCAGCGGTTAGCGCTACGCTGCGCTACAAACCCGGCGAAATCGGTCGAATTTACGACAAGCTCGTGCGGCAGCCAGGAACGGCGGGCCCAGTAGGCACCAAGCGAGTTGTTTATCACGGATCCCACAGTCTGTCCACATGGCTTCAACGTGACATGCTGTCTGTGTGGCCCTGCTGGACAGCCAGAGGGCTCTGTGCGGACAACCTTCAGCGTTGGCGAGGGGGGGGGGTATGCGTGACGACGCCAACTGCAGCTGTGTTGCCGCGCTACGAGTGTTGTTGTTGGTGGTGGTGGTGGCTGTCCACTGACTGAATGAGTGAGTGAGTGGTTGAGTGAGTGACTGAATGAGTGAGTGGGTGAGTGGTTGATTGACTGGGTGGGTGAATGAGTTGGTGAGTGAGTGGTTGAGTGAGTGACTTGGTGGGTGAATTAGTTGCTGATTGAGTGGTTGAGTGAGTGACTGAATGATTGAGTGAGTGGTTGAGTGAGTGGTTGATTGACTGGGTGGGTGAATTAGTTGGTGAGTGAGTGGTTGGGTGAGTGGCTGAATGAGTGGGTGTGTGGGTGAGTGAGTGGTTGATTGACTGGGTGGGTGAATGAGTTGGTGAGTGAGTGGTTGAGTGAGTGGCTGAATGAGTGAGTGGGTGGGTGAGTGAGTGACTGGGTGGGTTAATAGGTTGGTGAGTGAGTAGTTCAGTGAGTGACTGAATGAGTGGGTGAGTGAGTGCCTGGGTGGGTGAATGAGTGGGTGAGTTATTGGGTGAGTCCATGTCTTCGTGGCAACTCACACTGCAGCTGTGGTCACCGTGCAAGCATTGTCGCGTATTGTTGAGGACTGTCCACTGACTGAGATCAGCGAAGCTCTATGAGCAGAACCACAACGTGAGAAATCGAGGAGACTGCCGCAACGGCTCGGCGATTTACGTAAAACGCTGAATGAATAAGTGGACGAGTGGGTGAGTGAGTGAGTGGGTCAGCGACTAGGTGAGTGGGTGGGTTAGGAAGTTGGTGAGTGATTGGTTGAGTGTGTGGGTGGTTGCGTGGGTGGGCGGCTGAGTGGTTAAGTCAGTAACTAGGTGGGTGAATTAATGAGTGAGTGAGTGGTTGAATGGGTGAGTGAGTGGTTGCGTGAGTAACTGGGTGAGTGGTTGAGTGCGTGGTTGAGTGAGTGATTGAGTGAGTGGGTGGGTGAATGATTGGGTGAGTGAGTTTTTGAGTGGGTGTGTGTCTGGGTGGGTGGGTGAATGAGTGGGTGAGTGAGCGAGTGACTGGGTGGGTGAGTGGTTGAGTGAGTGACTGGGTGAGTGAGTGATTGGGTGAGTGAGTGGTTGAGTGAGTGACTGAATGAGTGAGTGAGTGGTCGAGTGAGTGATTGGATGAGTGAGTGGTTGAGTGAGTGACTGGGTGAGTGATTGGTTGAGTGAGTGGGTGACTGGGTGAGTGAGTGGGTGACTGGGTGAGTGAGTGGTTGAGTGACTGGGTGAGTGAGTGGTTGAGTGAGCGAGTGACTAGGTGGGTGAGTGGTTGAGTGAGTGTGGTCACCGTACTGGCAGTGCCGCGTGTTGTTGAGGACCGTCCACCGACACCGAGAGGAACCACACCGCGACCAATCTCGGAGGCAGCCGTAACGTCTCGGCGATGAACGCACCGACCAAAAACAAAATCTTCTCCTTCGACTTGAGGCACTCGCGAGCGCCACGCGCGCGCGGAGGATGAACCACATCGTGACCCTGCGTCGCGACCCTGAATCGTGACGGATATACACGTGGAGGGAAGGAGATGGAACGTCGGAACGCACATGGCGGGGGGGGGGGGCATTGCTTGCCCCCCCCCCTTTAACACGCGTGGCGGAATTGCGATTGCAAGGTTCACAACGGGAGACCGCGCCTGCGCGGTTCCAATTCTTCCTGTGCACTCTTAATTAACCCTAATTGCGATTAGCGCTCTTACAAGCGGTTTTTAATTAGACGATTAAGCGCAGACTGAATGCAACAAATTAAACACCGCTTCCTCTTTCCTCCTCCTCCTCCTCCACTAACTCGCTTCCTGCTGCCCGTACGCCAAATTCTGGACACTTTTAACCCAGGGGTGGGGGGAGCCTTTTTTCTGCCTAGGGCCATTTCGATACTTATAACATCATTCGCGGGCCATAAAAAAAGTTATCAACTTCAAAATTAGCCCGCTATATTTGGTCAAACATCGCATTAACTCGCCGCTAATGCGATTGGCTGGAACTTGCTTCTCTTTGGCGAGGCGTGGCGATGATGTTAGCCGGCTATTGACGATGTTGTCGCTACTCGCAACTGCTTTTCCAGGTTTTGCTCCTAAATGTATTGAATTTCGAGTCCCGCCTGCTGTTGCCTTGGCAGGGCCAGAGACCCAAATGATTTCGCGGGCCTCATACGGCCCGCGGGCCGGACCTTACCCACCCCTGCGAATCTAACCGATTAAAAAGGTGGACATTGAAGAATGCCGGTGGGAATTGACCGTCCCATGAAAATGAGCGCACACAGAGGAGAGGCCCTGGCCGACGAGCGGTGTCGTCGTGCAACGCGTGGGGCTGAGTGTAGTGGTCCTGGGTGTGTGCAGGTGGCGTGATATTAAAGAGAAGAATAAGAATAATAAGAATGATAAGAATAATAATAATAAGAAGAAGATGAGGAAGAAGAGGAAGAGGAAGAAGATGAAGAATACGGTGAAGAGAAGGAAGAAGGGGAAGACGTAGAGAGAGAATTAAACGCCACGGAAACACACGGCCAGTGCTGCATTATGTGGAAGTCTCCGCTGTCCAGTGAAGTCGCCACCTTCGTGTAGGGCCCAAAGGCGCAAACGCAGAGCTCAGAGTCCCCCCCACCCCCTCCACCCCCCCCCGCCCCCACCCTTGTTCAGTTCCTTGGCCGCGATCGAAGATTTCCAGTGCGGCGACGGAATCTGGCAAATTATCGCCATCCCCCGTCAACTCCCCGGGAAACATTCTGGTTTCGTCTCTTGCCACCCCCCCACCCCCTTTCCCACCCCCCATGCGCCCCCCCCCCCCCCCTGTAGATCGGCTCTAGGAATCGCGTGACACCCTACGACCCCTTTGAATCGCAGCCGTTTCATTTCCCGTGCTGTCGTCGCTTGTTTGTTGATGTTGTTGTTCGTTTGTTGTTGTTGTCATCCGTGACGGTGAGAGTCTTCTTGGCGAATTTCCCACCCCCACCCCCCCATGCCCCCCCCCCCCCGCCCCCCCCCCCCCCCCCCCCCCCAGCTTCCCTCCGCTTGGCTCACGTCGGAAACATTTGCTAGGCACTCGAAACTGCATCGCCGTGTCGGGGTTGCAGGTTTTGCTAAGGAGAGCCAGCGAAGTGACTCGGGGTACCCCCCCCCCCCCCCAACCCACCCCAACACTCCCTTTCGCCCCCCTCCACACCACAAACCCCCGCGGGCGCTGCTGTTAGCGAGCACCTATTAAGGCCGGCGCGGGTAACACACGTGGGGTGAGGTAGGGCAGACCGCAAAGCTTCCACGCCACCTTCACCGCTCCTCCCAGAAGCTGATCATTTAAGGCCGAGTCTATCTAGCGGCATCACGAGGGCAACGATGGTAGCCGTGGTCGGGATCGAACTCGGGTCGCCGGGTTCACAGGGCAATCCCCACCCCCCCAGCCACCGCATAGCCTCAACAGACTGTTGGGGCAAGTGCTGTTAGCGAGCAGCCATCTTTAAAGGCCAGGGTTCTGGGTGGTCAACACCACGCACGTGGGCAACTGATGATGCTGCTGCTGCTGATGATGATGCTGATGATGATGATGCTGATGATGATGATGCTGATGATGATGCCACCAGTGGTGGAACGGTCAGCAGCACACCAACGTCGCGCAGGTTCGATTCCAGCCCAATATCCTGACCAATACTCACTCGATTCCAATAACCATTTTTACCTGAGCCAATTATCTGACCAATAACTTCACCAATACTCACTCTATTTCAATAACTCGTCCAACGGTTCGATTCCATGCCGCGACGTGGGCGTTAGAAATCATGGGGGGGGGCGGGGCGAGTTTTTTATATATTTTTTTTGGGGGGGGTGGAGGGTGGTATGGAGGGGGTTCTTTGATCCGTCCGCTTCTGTTCCAAGCCAGCGGTGTTAACGGGTTACGGCGCATCGCGCAGGTCAGTCGAGCGTGCGAGTTGCACGTGGCTGGGGTACAGTGTGGGCATTCCCAGTGAGATTCCAAGACGTCTTGGCCGGGAGTGCTAGAGTAGACACAAGGCCCCGCGAGAGACGTCGCTCTAACGAAGGCCATTTCTGCCCTCCGCGAGTCGGCGGTGGGGGAGTTGGGAAGGGGAAGGCCGACGCGCGGAGACAGAGACAGAGGGGACGAATCAGAGACGCCGGGAGGAGGCACCGCTAAACGAGCGGCAGCCACGCGGTGATGAGCCGACGCCGCCAACGAATTAGACCCAAGCTCTGCGGTCCCCTGCGTATCAAGGCGCCATCGGTGCCAATTAGCACGTGGAACCAATCAGTCCGCTCATTCCACCGGGTGTGAAAGGGCGACAAACGCCCGCGTGTCCATCCGCGCGCCGTCAAAGGCGCTTTGGTGGGGAAGCGCCTCTCGCTGGCGGGGCGAGAGGCAGCGGCGATCTTTCGCCCGAGGTTGACATCAAACAACTCGGCACGCGCCATCCTTCTGAAAATTGACTCTGTTACGACGACAAAAAAAAAACGACGAAATATCGAGCGTGGCGCATCAATCTTCCAGCGTCAGTCCGGCGACCGCTGCATGTGTGCCTCCTCCTTCCCAGAGAGACCCACAGACGCACACAGAGACCCATAGACACACACAGAGACCCATAGACTCACACAGAGACCCATAGACTCACACAGAGACCCATAGACTCACACAGAGACCCATAGACTCACACAGAGACCCACAGACGCACACAGAGACCCATAGACTCGCACAGAGACCCACAGACGCACACAAAGACCCATAGACTGACACAGAGACTCAGAAACGCACACAGAGACCCATAGACTCACACAGAGACCCACAGACGCACACAGAGACCCATAGACTCACACAGAGACCGATAGACCCACACAGAGACCCACAGACGCACACAGAGACCCATATACGCACACAGAGACCCATAGACCCACACAGAGACCCACAGACGCACACAGAGACCCACAGACGCACACAGAGACCCATAGACTCACACAGAGACCCATAGACTCACACAGAGACCCATAGACCCACACAAAAACCCATAGACCCACACAGAGACCCACAGACGCACACAGAGACCCACAGACGCACACAGAGACCCATAGACTCACACAGAGACCCATAGACCCACACAAAAACCCATAGGCTCACACAGAGACCCATTGACGCACACACAGAGACCCACAGACACACACAGATACCCATAGACCCACATAAAGACCCACAGACGCACACACAGAGATCGACAGACGCACACAAAAACCAAAAGACTCACACAGAGACCCATAGACTCACATAAACCCATACACAAACCCATAGACTCATACACAGAGACCCACAGACCCACACAGAGACCCATAGACTCGCACACAAAAACCCATAGACTCACACACACAGAGACCCATAGACTCACACAGATACCCGCAGACTCACACGGAGAGGAAGAGCTACATTAAAGCTGGAAACCTCAGCTGTAGCGACGGCCGTGGTGCTTCGTGGTGGATGTGGAGAGGTGGATGTGGAGAGGTAGGTGCGGGGGTGGGGGGAGGGAGTGTGACAGGAGAGTCTCGGTGTCTCTGAGTCTCTCTCCGTCTCCGTCTCTCTCAACTCCCGCTTATGGCGAGCTCCCACGCCGAGGCAACGATCGCGTTTGTCTCCTCGAGGGGAGCAATGCCTGAAGGGGTGGGAAATCTGCGGCCGGGGCAGCATCGTTGTCCATCTCACGGATCACCAGACAGGGTGGAGCATGCCAACCGCGTCCTTGGGGCCCCAATCACCCCTCCTGTGTCCAAATCCTCGGCCAGGTGAACTTCTAGAGATTTCCGTTTTGATTGTTCTGCGCGTGTGTCTGTGTGTGTGGGGAGCGGTGATGTAGCGGTTAGCGCTACGCTGCGCTACGAACACGGCGTAGTCGGGTTCGATTCCCGCTCACGGCGGCTACCAACACCCGGTGACGATTACCTGAAACGGTTCTGGGCCTCCCCTAGGTCGACTCAGCCTCAAATGAGTACCTGGTGCGGTGTGAAAACAACGCCACTGGGGAGACAAAGGCGACCGGGCGTGGTTGCTGGCCACCCACCCCCTCGTGTGCCGTGCCGGCCTTCACACGTGCCGCTCGCTAACAGCACTTGCCCCTACAGTCTGTAACAGGCTACCCGGGAGATCTTTGTCTTTGTGGTGACCTCACACAGCCACGGTGGCCACCTTGGTAAGCGTGTATGTTGAACTTCTTTCGCACCGTACGTAGCCAACTTTGCTCTTTGCACGGGTCTTTTGTTTGCTTTTTGGAGGCACGCACTTTCACGTCTCTCTAAATGCTCATCTGTAAGTTCAATTGGATTTGTTTTTTTTTCATGATGACGACCGCTTGCGTTGCGATCGAAACGTCGTCGTTTTTTTCGTCGTATTTTTTTTCATTGAACCCATCTAACGTGACTTTACCGAAAGACCCAAAGAATATTCCATCGAGAAACTTGCGGTTGACGGGGACGGTGGGTGGTTATACAATACCCCACCTCCACCACCACCACTCTGCCCAGGATGTCTATGGGATAGCTCCCTGCTGCTGTTCTCAATTCCGCAGAGCTGCTTCTCCACTCTCTCACTCTCCGCTCTCTATCTCGTCTCTCTCTCCGCTCTCTTTCTCGTACAGAACGAGAAAAAAGATGCTGCAAGGTGACACTGACGGCTGCTCTGTGCTGCTTCCAGTGTTCAGGGGCGTGCTTAAGGCGCGGCTCCGGCTGGAGCACGCCACGTACCACACACACGTGTCGGTGATGTGCAGCGCGTCTTCTTCGAACGCTGGGGAGCCGGACAAGCCCCTCTCTGTACCAGCGTGGACGGCACCCCCCACGTGTTCACCTTCTGAAGCGCTCGCTCGTCACCGTGGCGTGCGCGATGACCACCACCACCACTACCACGTGGTTGTTATTTCGTGTTGTGCGCGGTGCTTTTTAGCGCCACAACGCGCGGATTTGTAGCGTTTATTTTCATTTGTGTTGCTGGTGACGTTGTGCGTTTCATATCGAAATCGCCTCCAGTGCTTTTGCTGCTGGCGGCAATAAAAGTTGTTTAAAAAGTCAAAATTCTTTCTCATCTCTCTCTCCGCTCTATCTCTCTCCGCTCTCTCTCTCTGCTCAGCGGTTCTCTAGTGGAGATATTTTTTTTTTCTTAACGTGAAATGTTAAAATGTTCCAAGCGCCAGGTAAGGCCTCACACTGAGCTATGTGCAGCTCTTTTCTCAGAAGCGACCTGGCCATCACAAATGACAACTCGACGAAGGTGGGCTCGTCATGATCGTTGCCGCCACGTGGAAATGCACAGCCGCCAAAATAACTCGAGACGCGTGACGTTGATTCGAAATGCGGGGGGTGGGAGGGTGGGGAACCGGAGGACCCGGGGAAAATCCACGCGATCACGGGGAGGACACGCGAACTCCAGATATACAGCAGCAACAGGCGTCAGGGTCGGGAACGAACCCACGAGCCTTCTGCACACCAGGCGAGGTAGTTAACATCTCACCACGGAGAGAGACGCGAACTCCAGATATACAGCAGCAGCAGGCGTCACGGCCGGGATCGAACCCACGAGCCTCCTGCATACCAGGCGAGGTAGTTAACATCTCACCACGGAGAGAGACGCGAACTCCAGATATACAGCAGCAGCAGGCGTCAGGGCCGGGATTGAACCCACGACCTCCTGCACACCAGGCGAGGTAGTCAACATCTCGCCAAAGTGCCGCCCAATAAGATTTAATCTCGCC